CACATGTCACTGAGAACATACAATGTATCCGTGTATTGTTTCATCGTATTACATACAATGTATCCATGTATTGTTTCATCGTATTACATACAATGTATCCGCGTATTGTTTCATCGTATTACATACAATGTATCCGTGTATTGTTTCATCGTATTACATACAATGTATCCGCGTATTGTTTCATAGTATTACATACAATGTATCCGTGTATTGTTTCATCGTATTACATACAATGTATCCGTGTATTGTTTCATCGTGTTACATACAATGTATCCGTGTATTGTTTCATCGTATTACATACAATGTATCCGCGTATTGTTTCATCGTATTACATACAATGTATCCGTGTATTGTTTAATCGTGTTACATACAATGTATCCGTGTATTGTTTCATCGTGTTACATACAATGTATCCGTGTATTGTTTCATCGTGTTACACACAATGTATCCGCGTATTGTTTCATCGTGTTACATACAATGTATCCGTGTATTGTTTCATCGTGTTACATACAATGTATCCGCGTATTGTTTCATTGGATTACATACAATGTATCCGTGTATTGTTTCATCGTATTACATACAATGTATCCGTGTATTGTTTCATCGTATTACATACAATGTATCCGTGTATTGTTTCATCGTGTTACATACAATGTATCCGCGTATTGTTTCATCGTGTTACATACAATGTATCCGTGTATTGTTTCATCGTATTACATACAATGTATCCGCGTATTGTTTCATCGTATTACATACAATGTATCCGCGTATTGTTTCATCGTATTACATACAATGTATCCGCGTATTGTTTCATCATATTACATACAATGTATCCGTGTATTGTTTCATCGTATTACATAAAATGTATCCGCGTATTGTTTCATCGTATTACATACAATGTATCCGTGTATTGTTTCATCGTGTTACACACAATGTATCCGCGTATTGTTTCATCGTGTTACATACAATGTATCCGTGTATTGTTTCATCGTATTACATACAATGAATCCGCGTATTGTTTCATCGTATTACATACAATGTATCCGCGTATTGTTTCATCGTATTACATACAATGTATCCGCGTATTGTTTCATCGTGTTACATACAATGTATCCGTGTATTGTTTCATCGTATTACAATAAATGTATCCGTGTATTGTTTCATCGTATTACATACAATGTATCCGCGTAGTGGTTCATTGTATCTCCTATTTCCCTCATACAGCATGGGGAGTGTGACATGTGATCTGCATATGACTTCAGTTGCTGTAAATAAACCTTACATGTTATCGATCACGCCTGATTGTTGATCGGTCAGTTAGGTCCCAACCACCAAACAATATACAGGGCACGCATTCCGCATAGGAGCGGCATCAGCTGCCTCTAGACATGAGGTGCCAGCGCGTGTCATCAAACGTTTGGGTAGGAGGAACGCCTCATGTTACAATCAGGGCCGGATTTACCCTCCCCGCCACCCCAGGGTCGGGTTCCGCAATGCTTTCCCGAAGCCGGGCTAAATGTAGAAAGCAACTTACCGCCAGGCGGCCGGAACTTCATGTTTCGGGCGTCGGGGGATTCCACAGACGCTGCCGCCCCTCTGCCGGGACCTCGTGGCCTTGTGGGGAATGCGGGCCTGGTTACAATAGATACATTCCGAACTCTCATGACCAAATGGCTTCGGCCTTCCCCAAGCCAGCAGAATAATGTGGTTACGTATTATCTTGTTGTGTGTTACAGCAAGTTCCCTTTCATGTGATTTTTGCCCCCTTACTGCCCACCCGGACCATGGCCCACCCCAGGTCAGTAGGGTACAGCTGGCTCTGCCTCTATTGTCGGGATCTGCTTAGACACTATAACATTACAGGAGGACCGGGATAAAATAGGGGGAGGGGCGACCATATGGCAGATGAGGTTTGATGTTGAGAAGTGTAAAGTAATGCATTTTGGGGTTAAAAACAGACAATCAGATTACATATTAATGGGAACTCCACCAGGGAAGTCACAAATAGAGAAGGATTTGGTGGTCATAGTAGACCACAGATTGAACAATAGCATGCAATGCCGGGCCGCGGGACACACAGCGAGCAGAGTTCTGTCTTGTATTATAAATGGAATGTATTGTAGAGACAAATCTATAATTCTGCCACTTTATAGATCGCTGGTTCGGCCTCATCTGGGGTATATGGTCCAGTTCTGGTCACCAATCCACAGGAAGGACGTCCTTGAGCAGGAAATAGTCCAGAGAAGGGCAACTAAACTAATTAAAGGAGAACTACGAGGTGAGTGAAGCCTCATAGTTGGAGCCGATGTGTGACAATGAGACTGTCACAGGTCGGCTCAGTAGATCAGGAGGTGAGAGAACACATACCGGCGCTCGCTCACTTCTCGATCCTGTGCCTGCAGAGAGTGGTGCCTGTCACTCACGGATCCTGCAGGGATTCCACCCTCCTCCAGCGCTGACTGGCGGAACGGATGGGGAGGGGGCGGGTACAGCTGGCTCTGCCTCTAGATAGGCAGAGCCAGCTGTCACTCACGCAGCTGGGCGGATCCCGGCACAATTGTCGGGATCCGCTCCGGCTGCGGCGTCTCAGTATACCGCGAGCTGTAGCTCCCTATATACTGAGCCTAGGATGACGGGAGGACGCTAGTTTGTGTCCTCCCGTTACCCTAAGGAGAACTATGGGGGAAAGACCTGACCTCATAGCTCTCCTTTAAGGGGCTGGAGGACCTAACCTATGAGACAAGGGGGAGGGGATGGAGGACCAAAGCTATGAGACAAGGGGGAGGGGATGGAGGACCAAAGCTATGAGACAAGGGGGAGGGGATGGAGGACCAAAGCTATGAGACAAGGGGGAGGGGATGGAGGAGCAAAGCTATGAGACAAGGTTACTAAATCTAAACTTGTTCACGCTGCAAGTGAGGAGATTAGGGGGGGAGGGGACATGATCTTGATGTACAATGTTTGGTGGTGATGACAACATCAGCAATAAACGTTTTACTGTAAACTCCGTAACAAGGACTAGAGGCCGCCGCCTAAAACTGGAGGAGAAAAGACTTATCCACAAGGGTCGTCGGGGATTATTTTCAGTCACAGCGCTTACATTGTGGAACTCTCTGCCACAAGCAGTGGTGTCAGCTGAGAGTGTGGAATCATTCCAAAATCATTTAGATCCCTTCCTCAGAGACGGGACATACAGGGGGACAGGTACACTTATATACAGGACCACGCAGGGACTCGTGTACACACGCACAACACACACAGACACACACACACACGGGCAGACACACACACACACACACACACAGACACACACACACACAAAGGTTGGACTCGGTGGATCTGCGTCTTTATTCATCCTCCGATACTAAGTAACCATAAAAGGAAATGTACAATGTGTGTGACGTCCGATATAACGGCCAATCTTTGTTCTGGAAACATCATTTTAGTGTCATTTTATGTGACAAATTATAGAATAAAATGTATACTTTGTATTTACAGGAAGAAGAAGAAGAAGCTAACGCTGTGAAAGGAGAATACAATATATGTTTCTGTGGGACCCTTGTTAGAAGAAACGTAGCAACGTCTCGGGTCCACATGGGGTGTGCGGGGTTAGGAGGACGGCACACAGCGGTGACGGGAGGTACCAGAAACGTTATTGTCTGATCAGAGGCTGAAATTGGGGAAATTTCGGGGGGCGGAGCACAGGAAGTGTCAGCTGTGTGATCTCTGCGCAGTGATATCTCCTCCGCCGATGCTGCGAAATACTAACAGAGGGGAACGCGAGCTGCAGGAAGTGCCTGAAACTAGTATAAGGGGGTGTTTCCTGTCATAGTCAGCCCCCCCTAAAAGAACCAACAATATAACTGAGGAGGAGAGAGGGACCACTGAGGAGGAGAGAGGGACCACTGAGGAGGAGAGAGGGATCACTGAGGAGGGGAGAGGGACCACTGAGGTGGGGAGAGGGAGCACTGAGGAGGAGAGAGGGACCACTGAGGAGGAGAGAGGGATCACTGAGGAGGAGAGAGGGAGCACTGAGGAGGGGAGAGGGAGCACTGAGGAGGAGAGAGGGATCACTGAGGAGGGGAGAGGGAGCACTGAGGAGGGGAGAGGGACCACTGAGGTGGGGAGAGGGAGCACTGAGGAGGAGAGAGGGACCACTGAGGAGGAGAGAGGGATCACTGAGGAGGGGAGAGGGAGCACTGAGGAGGGGAGAGGGACCACTGAGGAGGAGAGAGGGACCACTGAGGAGGAGAGAGGGACCACTGAGGAGGGGAGAGGGATCACTGAGGAGGGGAGAGGGACCACTGAGGAGGGGAGAGGGAGCACTGAGGAGGGGAGAGGGACCACTGAGGAGGAGAGAGGGACCACTGAGGAGGAGAGAGGGACAATCCTTACAAATGAGGGACAGTTGGGAGTATTGCTTAAAGTGTATTTCCAGGCAGAACGTGTTCCTTACTCTTGGATGGCGTGGGGAAGGATTAGATCCTGTGTTGGGATTTTACTGCTATCTGCCTTAGGAGAGATTTCCTCTCACTTCCTGTTCTGGCGACAAGGGGAACTCTGCAACAGCAGCACAGACAGATATAGAACACTTTTAGAGAAGGGGGAGACAAGAACCTCTGTCAGATTTGTGTCCCTGTTGGAGATTTCCCGCCGCTTCCTGTTTGATGAAACCGTGGTCGGCAGGACAGGAAGTGAGGGGAAATCTCTCTTACGGAACCCCCGATAACTGTAAAAAATGTGACCACAATCTTCTTCTTTCCCCACTCCATCCAAAACATAGAAGACAAGTTACGTTGGCGTACCCCGGAAATGTCGGGGCGCGGCAGTGTCAGAATGGCAGTTGCTGTAGCTGGCGGCAGGTGAGACTACATTAGAAATGGGTCAGCGCGGCTCGGTGACACCCATCCTGATTGGACGCGCATTGCGCCGCTGAGACTATCCTACAAGCGAGTGATGCGTCCTCATGTGGATGACGGTGGGCACGGATTGGTTGTCTCGGGACGCTGCTCAGTATTCATTGAGCGGAGCATAGCCCTGGGCCTGGGGCATCATGGGGACGCTGCTCAGCATGGTGGTCTGTGCGATGGTGACCGTGGACCCGTTACCCCTCCGGCGGATCTCGCGGGCGATCTGGCACCAGGTGCAGGAGTAGCAGCAGCAGGAGCGGACGCAGTCGTCGCAGATGGAACCCTGAAAGGAAGCAGATGAAACGCGGGCGTCAAAAAATCGCGGTCCCAGAGCATGAGCCCCATTATTTGTAATGATGGCCCTGTGTGTATGATTACATGTGAAGGGATATTTATGGACCTATACGGGTTGGACTTGATGGACTAATGTCTTTATTCAACCCCAAATACTATGTAACCTGTCTGATCCGGGTATATTGGCCGCATGAAAGTTCGCACTTTCGACACATCACCGGTGTCCGGACTGCCGGTGGCATTACTTGGCTGAAATACATCAATTCATTTATATTATATAGATTTATGATGAATGGAAAGGATAATTGCAGTCACCGGAACCCGTCATGTCAGTCTGGGGGAAGCGGCCGTATATTTCATCTGCGTTCATCTCAGCTGACCAGGAGCTGAGAGTTCTCCATTTCCATGTGTATGGTGATTTCCCCGAGCATGGTGTTACATGGCCGCCGCCTGCCCTCTTCACCGAGCATGGTGTTACATGGCCGCCGCCTGCCCTCATAATGTCATCCAAAGCAGAAACAATTCTCAAAATAACTCGCCCCTTACGCGTCAGGTCACGCTATGGATGTAATGCCGTATTGCGGGGAGGTCACATGGAAGGGTTCAGTCATTTTGGCCATCTTAAACTGGTTGTCATTGGATGAGATTTACAGAGAATCGCTGTGTGTATGGCCAGCCTATCAAATGCTGAGATACAGAGAATCTTCTATTATTCCGATGTGACCCTTCACCCCTTCACAATCATTACTTATATTGTAAAGCGCTGTGCAAACTATTGGCGCTATATAAATCCTGTATAATAATAATAATAATTACCTGCTGCAGGTCATACACAAATACAGGCCGCCGCCTGCCCTCTTCACCGAGCATGGTGTTACATGGCCGCCGCCTGCCCTCTTCACCGAGCATGGTGTTACATGGCCGCCGCCTGCCCTCTTCACCGAGCATGGTGTTACATGGCCGCCGCCTGCCCTCTTCACCGAGCATGGTGTTACATGGCCGCCGCCTGCCCTCTTCACCGAGCATGGTGTTACATGGCCGCCGCCTGCCCTCTTCACCGAGCATGGTGTTACATGGCCGCCGCCTGCCCTCTTCACCGAGCATGGTGTTACATGGCCGCCGCCTGCCCTCTTCACCGAGCATGGTGTTACATGGCCGCCGCCTGCCCTCTTCACCGAGCATGGTGTTACATGGCCGCCGCCTGCCCTCTTCACCGAGCATGGTGTTACATGGCCGCCGCCTGCCCTCTTCACCGAGCATGGTGTTACATGGCCGCCGCCTGCCCTCTTCACCGAGCATGGTGTTACATGGCCGCCGCCTGCCCTCTTCACCGAGCATGGTGTTACATGGCCGCCGCCTGCCCTCTTCACCGAGCATGGTGTTACATGGCCGCCGCCTGCCCTCTTCACCGAGCATGGTGTTACATGGCCGCCGCCTGCCCTCTTCACCGAGCATGGTGTTACATGGCCGCCGCCTGCCCTCTGGTGTAACTCACAGAACCAAGACTACTTCCCCAACCGGCTGCACCCAACTTACACGAATCCTGTATCTCTCGCGGACGGCGGCTCTCATGGCCATCGTTATGGGAGGGCAGATCCCGCTACAGCCGATGTATCCCATGAGGTTCGGGTCCATCAGTGGCAGGCAGATGCACTCTCCAAAATCACTGAACC